TCTTCAAGCACAGTTTTGACAGTGGTTTTCCTGTTAGTCTTGATTTTTGTTTCTGCAAGTTTTGTGTTTTGGTGATTAGCAGAAAGAGTTGTCTAGATTTAATGTTCAGATATGATTCAATGCTTGATTACAAAGTTAAATATAGTTTGATTTTTTGATTATAAGACTGATTATAATATGTTTTAATTTAATATTCAAATATGATTTAATGCTTGATTATGAAGTTAAATATGGTTTGATTTTAAATTCAGATATGATTCAATACTAAATTATAAAATTAAATGTGGTTCACTTTTTTGATTATAAAACTAATTATAATACACTTTAATTTAATATTCAAATATTATTTAATACTTGATTATGAAGTTGAATGTGATTCAATTTTTTGATTATAAGACTAATTATAATATGCTTTAATTTAATATTCAAATATTATTCAATGCTTAATTATGAAGTCAAATGTAGTTCACTTTTTTGATTATAAAATTGATTATAATGTACTTTAATTTAATATTCAGATATGATTTATAAAACAAATATGATTTAATTTTTTGATTATATGACTAATTATAATGCACTTTAATTTAATATTCAGATTTGATTTAATACTTAATTATGAAATTGAATATGGGGTGTAGTGACCTAGTGAAGTGGTCAGGTTGTTAACCCTCCAAGTAGTAGATTGAGTATTCAAATCCCATCAATAATGAAAATTTGGATATTCATCTATGTAATATTCATACTATGGCTATACATGCTACTAAAACTATAAATGTTTAAAATTCCACTCAAATCCAAATCTTATATGGAAAAATTCCAAATTCCATTCTGGAAAAACCTTATTTGAGCTGTTATAATCCCAAACTCTGGCAAAATTTCAAATTTTAGTAGAATACCAAATCATATTCTAAATTCCAAATTCTATTACAAATTCCAAATTCCATTCCAAATCCCAAATTCCAAATCCCATTCCAAGTCACAAATCCCAAATTCCATCCAAAGTTCCAAGTTCCAAATTTCAAATCCCATCCAAAATTCTAAATTCCATATCAGGTCTCAAGTTCCAAATCCCAAATTTCTTAAATTATATGTATAATATACAAAAAATAAAATCTATGTTTACTAAAAAACTGAAATTCCACTATTAGCTGTTTTGGTTTTAAATGCTAAAAATTTAATGTAGGCATTGCCAAAATCACTTCTAACAAAAGTTGATGGAATACTTGATCTCAAACTTTTGTACAAAAGTTATGCTTCTAAAAAAAAAAGTTTTAGATAACCTTAATAGTAAAAAAAATCTGATATGTCTAATTCGAATTTAAAAATTTACAGTTTTTTCAATTAAAAATTTCATTGCATATCATAAAAAAGATATTTATGTAATAAGAAATGGTCAAAAAAAGCAATGAATAATGCATTCTATATCTCGGTTAATGCATCATGTTAATTTAATTTTGATTATCTCGGTTCATTGTAGATGTTGGATGAATTTGGTCATATTGTCTTCCAATTTTTGATCTGCAAAAATAACATAGCTCCAATAAGCAAATTGCTAATTAAATTCTACGTGGGTAGCCTAAAATTTATAGGACAGGAGTCAGCAACGGCTATATTCCTAAAAGTAAGGCTCTAAAATCTTTTACTTCATTCCTCTTCACTCAAACCTAATTATCATAATTTGGTAGGGTTCAGTAAATTAATTAAAGATTATCTTATGTTACTATAAAATCAAAGTAATACCAATATCAGTTTGATTTATTAAATAGATTTGAAAGGCCAAGAATTATATCTTAATTAAATATATACAATTTATAATTACTTAGTCTTGAATTCTGTAGTTAAGAACTGGTTATGTATCTGTATTTTTGTAACAAAATAAATTGATTACGAATATAAAACAAAATGTATAACTTTATTAAATATATTCACAAATTTAAAGGCAACCTAAAATTTAAGGACTGGTAGTCAAGGCTCTAACTATAAACATTTCTATTTTACAAGTTATGATCTTAATACTTAAATAGATTTTGAATCAACTTTAGGTTGATTCAAAATTTCCTAACCGCCTAAAATTTTATTTCATTCAGAATTCACTTAAGTGGATTCAGATTTAGTGAGTTTCTATTTAGATGTATAATGATAAATAATTGCATTATAATGATACTAAAAAAAAAACATTCGCCAAAAAAAATCTAAGAATAATATCAATACAAAGATTTGAATTCAAAGTTGTTAGATCTAAGAACCAATTTTAATAAACACAAAATGAACCTAAGGTATACTTGCTGGCAAAATTCCAAGCCCAAAAAATATAATTACCCTTTACAAAAAACCAATTCAAATAAAGATTATTAATAAAGTTTTTGAGAAATTAGTTTGACCATAATTTGGGACTTGGGCATCAAGTATACCTAAGGGTACCATTTCCAGTCCAGAGAAAGTTTTCCTACTGTTTTATAAAAGCTGGCGTGACAGTGAATTCTTAATTCAATCAACATTAATCAGAATTTTGCTTCTTTATCATGACAATTACATTCTAAATGCTTACAAATAGCAGTGGCTTTTTTGATCAGATGATAAAGGTCTTCAGGAATCTCGGGTGCTAGATCTTAAAAAATAAATAATATCATTAGTACAATTGTTCAGTAGTTCAACAAATAGAGCAAGTAGTTTTTTTTTTTTTTTTTAAAGTAAAGCAATTGCTACCATAAGACTTTAAGATTCTAAGAATTTTATTTACTGTAATGTTTTTAACTAGCTTAATATTATACAAATTCTGAAGGTATATGCTAATTTCTGAGGGTGTAAGACCTTTTTTGCAAGTTTGAATATTTGTTTACAGATGTCTTAAGGTGTAATCCTCATCCACAGCAACATATGTTGGTATGAAGAAATGGCATTGATAGTACTTTTATTAGGAACGTGTATAAGGTCTATTTTATCTTAATTGCTTCTGTCTAAAAAAAAAAAAAATGTTATAAGCTATTGCTTTCTCTTAAAAAAGAGCTATGATTAGGAGAAAACATTAGGTTTCTCAATATGCATATATAAATTGTGCTTATAATTCATAAATCACATTATGTGGCACAATTCGTAGAATTCTTACCTATTCAATAGAACTGTACTTACCAAGAATTTCATCAGAAATCTTAGCTTATAATTAAAGCAGTGTTTTTTCACATATTATATAATTTTCAAAAATCGTGATGATAAAACTATTTTCGGACGAAAAATTATTTGCAGTTCTTAAGAAAGTAATGTGAATTATTTTTACTAGAATAAACTTTGATAAATAAATAAATAAACTAAAATAAAGTAAGATAAAGTAAACTAAAATAAAAATAAAATAAAATATTGCACACCTAATAATGGTACTAATAAAGTCATTATAATATTAATTAACCAAAACCATACAACTTTCTTTTTTTTAAAAAAAAAAAAACCAAAGAATTGACTGATTCTCTGGATCAGATATAAACTATTTATTAATCTAAATCATTAAAGTAGATCGTTTACATCAAAATCTTTGTTTCCATGTACAATTTCTTCAGTTGCACCTGAAGACTCACTATGTTCTAACTTGGACAATAAATTTATAAAATTTTCAACCTTCAAATTTGTCGAATTTTTACCAGCTATATCATCTGGCCCTTCCAAAAGATTTTTCTCTTCTATCAGTTCATTTGTAAGTTCTTCCAAAACAGAAAAGAAATCTTTCTCGCTAAATAAATTAGTGCCATCTTTATAGAATTTGTAATTTTGTTGAAAATCGATAAGAAATCTTTTTGCCAAAGATTGAGATTTATGTAATTAAGCTTTGACTTGACATTCTCAACTAAAAATGAATACATTTGGGCTATAATCTCTAGGCACTCAATACTTAATCTAAAATAGCATTAAATAGCATTTATAGTTAGTCGTTTAAAGTCATGATAAGATGAAAACGAAATTTAAACAGTTTTGAAATTTCTTAGTTAAATTTAAAAATAGGTTTTTATATTATTGAATAGCAAAAGAAAGATAAATTTTAAAAAATATTATTTAATATATATTTAACTGATCAATCAAATCAATGTGTTAATCAGTATAGATTATATAAGCATTATTCTAACTCAAAATACTAATTTAACAAGAAGTTTTGCTTACAATATAAAACTAAAAAATAAATTTACCTAGTTTGTCTCTTTCCAAAATACCATTCTAGTATACTAAAGATATGCTCACAGGCAGCATTATGAGGGGAAATAGAATGTATTTTTAGAGCAAGTTTTTTAATATGATCTTCATTTCTTTTAAGATCTATAGACATCTACCAATTGGTAATTATGTCAGTGGATGCAATAAATTTATCATCAAAGAGGTACTCTTGGTTTTTATATAAACTCATTTGAGTTTTTAGAAGATCTGCACTTGTTCGACCACTACTGAATTTCTTCCATATTTCTAATGCTTTCTTAAGAATATGATTTTTGTATATACTGGGTTCAAGAAAGTCACCTATATAAAAAAAAAAAAATTAAAATAAAATAAAAGCATGTATTTTAAAATATACCAAATATATATAAAATTAGGTACTGCAGTAAGCAGGGTGTAAAAAAAATGATAAAAGATATAAATCCATATTAAATTCTTTCTACTACTTATTATAAATAGCAATACAATCATGTCGGAACTGATTATTATATAAAACAAATATTTCTTGAATTGCAATTGCCATTTTGACTAGTTCAATAAATACATCTGCCAATAAGGTAGTTCGAAACTCTACATCCATCACAGTGCATTTTACCAGCCTGAGAATATTCCACAATTGCTCTATGTCAATCCAAAATTGACGATCATTAATTAAATTTTTTACATCACTTGCATGATCAAAAATTTGAGGTTCTTGGTCTAAAACCTATTGGAAGTAAATTATTTTAGTATAAAAAATATATTTAAAAATATTATGAATTTACCTAAAAGAATGCTCAAGGCATTGTTTTGAATATAAATACATATATTGTACATTAATTTAATATTTGCATCAGTTTAAATTCAGATTAAAATAATTATAACATTATCCTAACTCTAACATAGACTTTCACCCCAACCCTAATAAAGCTTAGTATTTAATTTAATCTGATACAAATTCTAATTGTAATGCGTAATATATATATATATCAAGAATTTTAATTGCAATAATACTGATTTAATGTTTGTTTCATTGCATAAAACAGAATTGCAAGAATCTCATACCATTGACTACTGAGTTTTAGTGCTTGACTTTAAATTTCCACCAACAGTGAAGGAACTTATGATTTCTTCTCTAAGGATGGCACCAGCAGTATAAAAATTTCTAAAAAAACTTACAATTGCTTGACAATTAGAAAGGACCTTTCATGCATGAGATAAACGACAAATACTACTAGAGATTAATTGTATATGATGTACAATACATTTAATAGGTAAAATATATGAATATTTCACTGTAATCTGTCATTTTGCTGCCATCATGGCTAATTCTGCATCAGAAACTATTGCAACAAATTTTTCAGATCCAACTTTTTCTAGTACTTCTAACATTTTTTCTGCATTAAAGTTTGCTGTATGTGAGAATGATGAAAAATCACGTAAGGCATATACATATTGTTTTTTCATCTGTCATTATCACAAAGGAATATATGCTATATTTCATCGGACTACACTAGCTGTTTATACACAATATAAGATTTTTAGATTTCGATAGCTCTTTTTCTATTTTTAGTATAACATTTGCTGCTTCTACATTCAAGATTAATGTTGCCAATGTAGTTCGCTTAGACAAGCTATATTCAGGATTTAATATTTTGGTAAAATCTTCGAAATAAGGAGAATCGAAGCCTAAAAATAAAATGCCAGAGCATACAATCTATTTAATTAATGCTTTATTGGCTCTTGATTCTTTGAATTTATCAATGGCCTCCTTGGTGTCATAGTAGGCATCTAGAGATAAAATATGATAATCTAATTTTCTTTTTTTTAAAGCGGATGTAGACACATTCTCATTTTGGATCTGTCGAAGTACTTTAATTCATGTTTCTTGTGGTACTTTCCCTTTACATTTTATAGCAAGGTAGGCTCTCATTTCCTAAGCTCTTCCACGAACCCATGACACAGCACAATATCTACAACATGCTCCTTTATGTTTTCCTCTTCCATAGTTTATGATGTCATATTCATTCCAAATATCTTCTTGGGGTCGACTCCCACCAATTGATGATTATGTTGTTTTTGTTCACACAGACTCTGTCTCGCTAATTAAAGAAGGTTGTATAGATTCTGTCTTACTAACTAAAAAAGAACAACCTGAAGTTTCATTGATATTATCTTCGTTATATATAGAGTTTTCTATTACTGTAAAAAAAAAATGTTTTTTTTTGTTTTAAGAAAAAAAAAAAAATTATGTATACTAATTTATATATATATATATATATATTTTGAAGAAAAAAAGTGAGAAAATATATACTAATAAACTTTTTTTTTAAAAAAAAATTGAACCATCTACAAAAAACAGCTTACTAGTGCACTTGCTTATTAGAAACACAAAGGTTAGAAAAACTTTAAGAAAAAGCTATACATTATTTTATTATAAATAAGCAAACCTTTTATTTTAAAAATCAATGTTTTTTAACGTTATTATTTGACTTACTCAATCATAACAAATTTGTCGTAAAATAAAAGAAAGACTGATTAGATAAGAACAAGCCAATTTATTATATAATAACAAACTAGTACATTATTGTTAATAGCTTATCAGTATAATCAAAAGTATTGTGCATGTTTTATCACTTTTTTAGATTATCCAACTATCTAAATTGTAGTTTAAGAAATATCGCACTTGTATCTTGCATTGTATTATCATAATACAGCACTGATAAATGATAAAAATAATACTGTACCATGCTACATATGGTTTTTTTTCAAGATATTCAAATAATACCCTCTGGAGTACTGTGTGAAGAGGAGGCACTCTGAAGAGAACGAATTAATCATAATACAAAATTATTGATTTGGATCATAAACATAATAAATTTTACTTGATTAGTATCAGGTAGCGATATAAACCCCAAAGGTTTTTTTTACTAGATTCAACAATTGTAATTTAAACTTGTATAGAGTGCGAATCACAAAATAAATAAATTTGATATTGCCTAGTGATGCAGAGAAATTACCTGCATCATGTTAATTTTGTAAAATTGATTCTTTATATTAGAGTTTGGTATGCAAAAAGAAATAAACACAGGTTTGGATTTCAAATTGAGTTTGAAATGTCAATTCCTAAACTCAAATTAGATAAAAGTCCAAAACTGTCCTATTCGAGTTGGTTTATATTACTAGTATTGGGATATCTGAAAATGCTATATAGAATTTACCATTGAATAGTATCCTAATATTATCGATGCAAACCAAACTTGATAGTTTGGAATTTAGTAGAATCCCAAAGATTTTTTACTAGTTTCAACAACTGTGTCATGACTGTATTATAATTCAAACTTATGCATCACTGACTAGAGCACGAATCATAAGATAATCAAGTATTGTCTAGTGATGCAGAGAAATTATTTTCACAATTGTGAAAATAATTTTCTTGCACTATCATGTCTCTAAAGTTTGAGACATGCAAGAAGAAATGTACACAAGTTTGGGTTTCAAATTGGGTTTGACATCACGACAATGGCTGATATCTAAACCCAAATTAGGTAAAAGTCAATACTGCTTATATGGGTTTTGTTTGTACATATTGATACCTGATACTACTTTAAAAGGATACTTTTTATAGAATATACTATATACAGTGCTATACAATATTTGGGATTTGGAATTTGGGATAAAATTAGAATCTTGGAATTTGAGATGGAATTTGGGATTTGAGATTTGGAACTTTGGATGGAATTTGGGATTTGGGATAGGATTTGGGATTTGGGATTTGGAATAGGATCTGGAATTTGTAACTTGGAATTTGGAATTTGAGATGGGATTTGGGATTTAAAACATGGGATTTGAGATGTAATTTGGGATTGAATTATAATTTGGGATTTGGTTAAAACTTAAAATTTAGGATTTGAAATTGGAATTTGTCCAGATTTGCTATTTGGAATTTTCAAATATAGTTGGGCAATCCCATTTGTCTGGGTTTGTCTATAGACAAATATTAAATCCTATAAGTTTGTCTAGCATGTATAACTATGACAACTGTTACTAATGATTGAGTTAGGATACCTGTAATGGTGGTCGCACCAGCATGACTGGCAGGTCATAGGGCATCTGTATAAGTATAGCATTACACAGAGGAATGCAAACTGACAAATCAGGTGGTGCAAACACTAGATAAGTTCTTGTAGCTGTGTAAATCCATTGAAATTAGATAACAAGAAGTTCATTTGGGAAGACCTGAGTAAAGAGGTAGCTGGATCTTCGATGGCCCTACTGTAAAGGCTAGCCTGGAGAAACAGATACTAAGGTCGTAGTACCTGGTCATAGTAGCTGGACAGGCAAGAACTTCTGGATTGAATAGCTCAAAGATACTACTAATCAGGCTGTTAGAATGAACCAGAGGAAAAGGATATTAGGCCGACCTAATATACTAATGAACTGGTCATAGTTTTATACAAGCTATCTGGATTGGGAGTTTGGTAAAAAAGCTGAACAAAAGACAGAGGTATACTAAAGTACTCAGGTTATACTATGAAGTAAATACTGGGGTCTAAGTAAACTTTACAAAAGCATAGCAGTTTAATGGTTAGCCCTGATCACAAGTGTTGGTTCTGCTATAGCGATACCTAGGTTAGCTGTAAAAATGGGTACAGAAGGCTCTAAGAGGTTTACTTCAAGGATAAATTAGTCTTAAGGTTGAGAATAATAATCTGGTATATCTGAGATGACCAGTAATGTTAATACAGATTACAGGTTCAGAGGGTTTAAAGTGGAACATTCAAGCAGAGGTGTTAGGTATGGCAATTGGTGAGGAACCTTTGGGCGGACTTCTTAAATAGGTAATATAGAAAAGTTACATATGTAGCCAATTGTATGCTCTCCTGTAGTAGTTTATTGAACTACAATACTGATAAGTGATTAATAAAAGTCAAAAGACCAAAGAGGTTATCTTAATAAAAAAAAAAAAAAAAAATGAAATTGAATATGAGAGATGTGATGACCTAGTAAAGTGATTAGATTGTCAACCTCCAAGTAGTAAATTAGATGTTCAAATTTCATTAACAGTGAAAATTTGAATAATCATCTATGTAATATTTATATTATAGCAACTGTTATTAATGATTGGATTAGGATACCTGTAATAGTGATTGCACCATCATGACTAACAGGTTATAGGGCATCTGTGCAATGTTGGAGTTATACAGAGAAATACAAACTGACAAATCAGACAGTGCAAACACTAGATAAGTTCTTGTGGCTATGTAAATCTGTTGAAATTGGGTAACAAGAAGTCTATTTGAAAAAACCTAAGTAAAGAGGTAGCTAGATCTTTGACAGCCCTACTGTAAAAGCTAACTTAAAGAAACAGATACTAAGGTCTAGTACCTGGTCATAGTAGCTAGATAGGCAAGAACCTCTGAGTTGAAAGTCTTAAAAGTACCATCAATTAGACCACTAGAACAAACTAGAAGAAAAAGATATCAGGCTGATCCTATATACTGATGAACTGATCATAGTTCTACATGAGCTATCTGAATTGAGAGTTTGGTAAAAAAACAGAGGTATACTAAAGTACTAGAGTTATATTGTAAAGTAGATGCTGAGGTCTAAGTAAACTCTACAAAAACATAGCAGTTTAATCATCAGCCCTAATTACAAGTATTGGTTCTGCTATAGTGATACTTAGGTCAGCTGTAAAAATAGGTACAAAAAACTCTAAGAGGTTTATCTCGAAGATAAATTAGTTCTAAGGTTGAGATGATAATCTGAGCATCTGGATATAACCTAGTGAGTTAATACAGATTACAGGTTTAGAAGGTTTAAAGTAGAAAATTCAAGCAGAAGTATTAGGTATAGCAATTGATAAAGAACCTTCAGACAGACTCCTTAAATAGGTAATATAGAAAAGTTACATGTGTAGCCAATTGTATACTCTCCTGTAGTGGTTCATTAAACTATAATACCAATAAGTAATTAATAAAAGTCAAATAACCAAAGAGGTCACCTTAATACTAAAAAAAAAAAAAAATTTGAAATCAAATATGATTTGATTTTACATTCAGATATAATTTAATATTTATATAAAGTTAAATATAGTTTAATTTTTTGATTATAAAACTGATTATAATGTACTTTAATTTAATATTCAATAGGCCTCCACATGGGCCAAGTAGGCCCATAGGTACCTACAGATAGTACTATAAAGACCAGACTAGGGCACTAATTTCTAAGTTCTAGAGTAAGAGTAAGGGCTTAAATATAAGGCCTTTACACAAACAGGTAGTGCTAGGGTATTACCTGTTACCCTACTTCAGGTATCTATTAGTTATATAGATATTATATTCATATGAAGTTCTAAGCTCTGTTTATTAAGACTTCAGACTACATAATAATAAATTAATTTTATTTTATAATATATATGTACTATATTAATTCTAAACCCCAATATATGTATGTACATATGTACAAGCTAGGTTAGTAACCACATCATTTCAGAATTAAAGTTTGTTTATACTTTATATAGGTAGTAAGTTTTACAATACAGAAAATCCAAATCTCTCTATATATAGAAGTATACATAACAATAACATCAAGAATAAAATGTTAGGATAGTTTGTCAAATAAGTAAATTATATGTATCACTAATATTTATCTTTTTTAATAATTTTTTCTTGGCAGAACAATAAATTTTTTTTATTTTAATGTACTGTATTTATATTAGTTAGATGATTTAAATCGCAGATAAATTTTATAAGAGCCATACTGCTATAATTATTAAGAAAAGATCAATTTTTATACAAAAAAAAAATCTTTTAAAAAATTTATATAATATCTATATATATAAAGCTTTATTTGCTTAGTTAATAGACTACCAGAATAAAATGTCTGCACATATGTATGAGTATATGTAGTGAAACTGAAATAAGCTGTTAATAATACAAATTTAGTGGTTTTGGATCAAAATCCTGATAACCAGAATTCTGACAAGATCAAATTCTGACAGG